CACAACTTGTCAACTGTCATATTGCAGTCCCTCACATATGAGACTTTTCAGCGATAGCATTTGCTCTTTGGAATGCTTTCCCAGTTGATATTTGAAGAGTTGTTATTAAATTGTTTAAACGCTTAGTGTAAACAGATTATTTTTTTTCTTTTTTCTCCCTTCCATTTTTAATATATTCATGGGTTTAACTTACAGTTGCTTTACTATTTATGCTTAGTGTAAACAGATTATTTTTTTTCTTTTTTCTCCCTTCCATTTTTAATATATTCATGGGTTTAACTTATAGTTGCTTTACTATTAACAACAATTTAGCTTGATCGTATTGCAGTAAATGTTCTTCAGCTGTACTGAAAGTCTGTGGTCATGTTAAGAAATTGATACTTGTTTTAGTGCTATCCTGTACTGTACAAGCTTTCATATAATGTCTCCTTTTGTATACTTTTCAGTTCTGCAGAGACTTACAGCCAATCCAGTATGTTTACAAGGAACCAAGGATACATAATAAACACATTTTTCTGCTTCTGATTCCACTGCTCAAGCTGAGCAATTGTTAATATTATTCCAAGGTTAAAGTGCACTTATGGCAGATAATTTAAAGGATTGCCATTGCACCTGAAAATGTATTGCTAATTTCTTTGTGCTCAAACATTTCACTGGATAATTATATGAGCTTTGTCCTTTGAAGTAGTCACCATCTATTCAGCCATCAGTCTGAAACCACCAATAACTCCACTTCTGCATTCAAGAAAAATCTTTTAAGTTCTGTATTTGTTTGTTGATTTAGAAACATGAGACTTCATAATCTTGTGTTATTCATGAGAAATGATGTTAGGAAATTTTTAATTTAAAGATAAAGCAGGGCACACAGCACATGAATAAAGGTGTATGATAATTGTGTATGAATTGCATTTTGTAAATCTGGAACATAAGGTGAATTCAGAGATTGTTCTTTATAAAATGTCTAATTGAGTTTGGTTCTATAAAAACTTAAAAATAAATCCTGCAGATATTCTAATCAGAACCAAGATGCATATAAAGAGAAAAAATAAGAATGATAGAATTGTTTTTCAATCATAGGATAAAAGCCTATGTCGAACAAGGCAGTTGACTAGCTACAAAATTGAGTGTTTGGTGGAAGAATATTGGTGGATAAAACAGACAAAAGGAATGCTAATTGGGTTATTTTTCTTGCTAATTAAGACATGTGAGAAAACACCTGTAGAAAATATATATAAGCAGTGTGAAATTGTAAAATTAAAGCAAGCAAAACCAGGGAAATGGGAAGTGTCTGAAATTACAGTATAAAAGCCAGTATAGTCTTAAAAATAAAGGTAGAAG